AAACACATTAAACTTGGTTTAATCCGTTCCAATGGGCCCCGAAACTCACCACTGAGCGATGCTTCACTATGGCTGGCAACCATTTTTGCGCCCTCCCCTCGCTTAGCGAGGGCGCAAAAACGCTGTGTGCGGCCATTTCGGGGCTTCTGGTGGCCATTTTAGAGCAGCCGAACAGCTGAACCGCGGGTCGCAAAGCGAAGGTCGGTAAGCAAAACGCTTACCGCCCTTCGCTATGCGATTTTCGGCCATAGAGGCCATTGCTTTGTGATTGCATTAGCGATCGCAAAAACATCCTCGCTATGCGGATCTGTCGTTCTACGGTGCGCTCGCTAAGCGAGGCACCACTGTAGTACCTTTTGTCTTACCTACATTGAGCCTCATTTTATAGTTCCTACCTGGTCTGTTACAGTCACCAACATGAGTAGGATCTTTGTTACTCTTGTTGAAGGGAGATCAGGAATCTCTAGGGGAGACTTCAAACACATTGGTAGTAATTTGTGCAAATGTAAGGATGTATGAGTGTTTCTTGTCTTCATGTGCAATGTCACCATCCAAAGCCACTCAAAACATGCATAGTAGTGGAAGGGTTTTAGGCAAATGTCGTTTGAAGAGCACATTGCCTTTGGAGCCGCAGATTGAATCTGACAACTCACTGAGCCCTTGCGTAGCGAAGCTGCTACTGTCTCTCCTGAATACATACACTCTGTGTTTCTTTCTACCACTATCCCTTCCCTTTTACTGTAGTGCTGCTTCTGTTGAACACGTTGCATTTGATCTGAAGCATGAGAATGCTGCATATTAGAGAAGCAATTAAGCTCCTTACTTGTAAGAGAAGGATTGTGATGTTAAATAATCTGGGGCCCTAATATCTCTTACCTAATTAGCACAAAGGCTAATTAGATTTATAATAATTAGAAGCTTTACAACATTCTGAGAATTTTGGGGGAACGTATGCAAGTTCTAGGCAGTTGATTTATTTTTGGAATGAGCTGCCTGAAGCATATTTAGAGGATGTTAATAAATAAGTGATGTAATGGACACATGAAACCGTTGATTTGGAGGTTATAGCAATGTTTGTCTAAAGGCAGGCCAGCTATTCCTTTGAATATTATGTGTAATTTTCATAGGGACTTGGTTGTCAGCCACTAAGTGATACCCACATTCTCTTTATTACAGTGCACAATATGGTCCAGGCCATCAGTTGTCTGAGGATCCTCTGTAGATTGGTGATGGAGGATTTTGAGAATTACTGGAAACAACTAGTTTCTAGCCTTGGTAGTTGCAGGAAAAGTCTTGAAACGTTGTTGTTGTCTTGGATACTTAGTTGTGGTGGCTTCTTGTTAAGGTATGGAGAAGCCTGGATACTTTGGGTCAGTGTGTTGCGGTCCCCTATGGGCACACCACTGAGCTGTGTCTTGTAGCATATGTGCTGGTAGCTTAGTTATCATCAGGCCCTAGGCTAATTTCACCTACTCAGGCTGCTCATTGGATCTTCCAGGATAGGAAGGATTACAGTCCACTGTTTTGTTGCAGGGTGGATTTATTAGGCATGCCTAAAGCAAACTGATTTTAGTAGGTAGCAACACACAGTGGTTGCGAATAGGCTGAGAATTTGCAGAGATGGAAAAAGTTCCTTTCTTGGATTCTGGATTTCTGTGAATTGCAGCCGGAAAAAATTATTTTTACTATCTCAAGTATTTGACTTTTGCATTAGCCTTTCTAACTTAACAAGTTCTCAGATGCAGTGTAACAACATCACTGGTCTTGAATATCAGGAAGAAGCTGAAAAAGAGCATTTGGGAAACTGCTCCATTGCAATTGTTTTGGTTTTTGACACAAGAAAGATTAAACAGACCAGATTGCCAAAGGTGCATTCTACTGTCACCCATTTGATTCAAACCAAGTCAAGTAAGACAGCTAACGCCAAGTTGGTGCCTCCCAGGGGCTTTTGATTTCAATCCACATCAGCCTAGCAAAACCAGTCAAGTCATTGATTATAAGCCAGGACATCTTGGGGGCACCAGGTTGGAGGAAATGACATAGAGGTTACCCTGAGAGGCTTTTATTTTGGTTTAATGAGAGGGCATGGAGCAAGTCATCTTCTGCTGGAGCATTTATTTTCTGACCTCCCTTCCCCTGGAAGCTCAGGCTGGCTTCCTCACAGTATATTAATAAATGATTTTAGAGATGTACAATGATGCCTCGCTTGACAATTACCTCGTTAGATGAGGAAATCGCTTGACAATTCATTTTTTGTGATTGCTATTGCGATCGCTAAACGATGACTGAATGGGCTTTTTTCGCTCAACGTTGATCGGTTCCCTGCTTCGGGAACTGATTTTTTGCTTAATGACGATCAAAAACAACTGGTTGTTGGATTGCAAAATGGCTCCCCGCTGTGCTTTAGGACGGATTCCTCACATTACAGGCACCGAAAAATGGCTGCCCTATGGAGGATCTTCGCTGGATGCTGAGGTATTTTGCCCATTGGAACGCATTGAACCGGTTTTCAATTCATTTCAATGGGCTTTTTCATTTCGCTTGATGAGGATTTCGCTTAACAGCGATTTGAACGGAACGAATTATCCTCGTCAAGCGAGGCACCACTGTATTTGAGGCCAGCTTATTCGAAAAGAGATGGGATACTTTATGTTACAGAATTAATTTGTCATGTACCTTTCCACTAACAATCAATTTATGGGGTAGTAACCAGAGAAACTCCTTCATGGATTGCTGCCTTGTCGTGGCGAAGGGGCCTGAGCAACTCAGAGAAGCTATGGGCTATGCCGTGCAGGGCCACCCAAGACGGACAGGTCATAGTGGAGAGTTCCAACTAAACACAATCCACCTGGAGTAGGAACCGGCAATTTCACTCCAGTATCTTTGCCAAGGAAACCCCATGATCAGAAACAAAAGGCTAAAAGATACGACGCTGGAAGATGGGCCCCTCAGGTTGGATGAATCTGACCCAACTCTGGGAGGCAGTGGAAGATAGGAGGGCCTGGTGTGCTCTGGTTCATGGGGTCACGAAGAGTCGGACACGACTAAACGACTAAACGAAACGACCAGGGAAAAGCTAGTTTGTCGTCTGAAAGGTGATATTTTAAATATCTAAGTGTTCTTACAAAGAAGTGCATTTCAGGAAATAAAGAGTGGTGGTGATTTCTTTTCATGAGGGAAAACAGGAAAAAAAAACATAGTGTTTTTTCATGAGGGATAAAACTTTAGGAAAGCAATGTATTTAATACATGATAGGTAACCAAGCTTAACGTCACTAACCTAATGACTCAGCCAAGCTGAATGCAGCGTGCTATCCAAGTGTTATCATCTGCCATTTACTTTTATATCTCTTTCCATTGCTGCCCAGAGTAGACTATTTGTCTAAATGGCCGGGATATAAATCTAATAAAATAAATAAATAAATAAATTCCCCCTTTTGATGCTTGGTTTGTGACCTCAATTAAGAGTTGTCATTAGAGGTCATGTCTTTCCTTAACAATATTTGGAAACATTCTGCTCCTGTACAGTTTGATAAAGCTAATTGCTAATACTCTAAGATCATTGAGCAAACGCAGTAAGGAAATTAAAACTGTAATACTGTTTATGGACAAAACATAGCAACTTTTATAGCACAGTGAAGTGATATTCTAAACTAGTTTGCTGGCATTATACGAGGAAAGGTTAGTATGACCTTTTATGAATATCCCATAGACTTAAAATCAAATGCTAAGTGATCTTGATTTACTTTCAAAAAAGTTCTGAATGGTAAAGGATTTTTGTTGAAGAAGAATTAAAAGAAAAGGAAGGGGAAGGTGGTTAGGAAAGTAACATAATGGAATATAGGGAAAATATCTTTGAAAACATTGGACCATCTATATGCCTAAAGTCATGAGAAATGGGAAACTTGATATCTTCCAGATGTTCTAGAATATTATAGCTCCCATCAACCTTAGCCATCTTGGCCAACAGACAGTTACCTGTTCCTTTCAATTATATCTGAAAGTGGGATCTGAAGGCCTTAGGAATGGACCTCAGCAGATGGGAAACGACATCTGAGCGCTCAGCCTGGAGGCAGGTGGTGCATCATGGCCTCTCCCAATTTGAAGAGACCCTTGTCCAGCAGGCCGAGGCAAAGAGGCAGTCCTGAAACCAGCAAAATCAGGGAGCTGGACAGGGGACAGATTGTATTTGTCCTCAGTGTGGAAGGGATTGTCATTCTTGAATTGGCCTCCTCAGCCACACTAGATGCTGTTCCAAGTCCTCCATTCAGAGCACGTTACCATAGTCTCTCGAGACTGAAGGATGCTTAATCTGTTCCTTTCAACTAGAACAGTGGTTCCCGACCTTGGGTCCTCAGATGCCCTTGGACTGTAACTCCCAGAAATCCTGGCCAGCACAGCTGGTGGTGAATGGATTTTTTCTTTAAAACAGCTGGGAACCCGTGGTTGGGAACCACTGAACTAGAAAGATCAATAGCTGAACATGAAAAGCACATGCCATAAAGCCTCCCTCAGCTTTGCTTTTATTTGTTGCACTTTTATCCTGCTTTCCTCCAAGGGGCTCATCTTGGTGTACACAGTCCTTGATTGTTTATTATCCTTACAATCTTATGGGAAAGTTTAATTCTGAGAATTTGTGATTGATTCAAGATCAGCCAACTAACTTCATGCCAAATGGGGACTTGTAAATGGGTCTCTCCAGTCTTGGTCTGATATTGTAACCTTGGAGATAAAGTGCAGTCCTTTTGATGATACTGGACTATAACTGTCATCAGCTTGTTTGTACTCCAAGAATGGCTGCTGGACCATACTTTGCCTATTATTGTTTTAACCACAATGCTTAAAATAGGATCATATGAAATGGGCTTCTGAGAGCAAATAAGTTGAAAATGTGAGCTGGTCATTCTTTTCTCATTAATAACGGTATCATCTAGAATGACCCATGGTGAGCTATTTAAGAAAACACAGGCAGCTTCTTAGGCTTTTTTCTTCTTTTTAAAGGTTGCAGTTGCTCCATGGTGGTTGCCTGTCAAAGGAGCTAATTGGAAGCACCCTGAGGGTCCCGATTCCAGTATTACGTACAGGTGAGCCCCAAATAATTGTTGACTTTCCACTGGCATTTTACTGACAGAAACACTACTGCTTTGCCCTGAATCAAATTCTAGCCTATCTCAAGATGAAAAAATGACCCATAAGAAATCCACACTGGGCCTTCAGAAGAAGGGCACTCAATTTTACTTCCTCTAGATCAATTTTTGTTTGACAAACAGATATTTTGAAATATTTTTGTCAGCTGTGAGGTAAAAACTGGTGGACTGATTAATAGATATCAATTGATATATTGAGCTGTTGTATATCTTTGGTGTTTTACATCTATAGCAATAACACCATAAATATAAATTGTTGAAATTCAACCCATTGTTTCCTTTTCTGCAAAATCTGGAGATTAGGAAAATTAGAAGTGTTAGAAGGTTATTGTAGGTTTTTTTGGGGCAGTTTGGCCGTCTTCTGGAGGTTTTTCTTCCTAATGTTTCACCAGTAACTGTGGCCAGCATCTTCAAACGACAGGAGTAGAACGCTGTCTGTTTTCTGGTACAGTGTGTGGGATAGTTGAGTATTTGTAGCTGTGGGATCAGCTTCTTGTCGTTTTCAGGAGATTGGGTGGTTATGGTGATCAGAGTGTTTTTTGTTATGAGTGTATTGTTGTGATAAGGGGGGAAGTGATCTGTCACTGTGATTGATGGATGTAAGCTAGTCTTGTGTGTGCAGTGATCACCGGTCCTTATGGCTGGGTAGAGTTTGTTGACCTTTTTGCAGGCTGTATTTTTTAGTGCTGGGAGCCAGACTTTATTGAGTTTTAGACTTTCTTCTTTTTTGTTGAAGCTGTGTTGATGTTTGTAGATGTCAATGGCTTTTCTGTGTAGTCTTAACATAATGATACTTGGTATTGTCCAATACATCTATGTTTTGAAGTAGAATTTCATGTCCAGCTTGTTTCTGGGCATGTTCAGCTACTACTGATTTTTCCGGTTGTTTTAATTTCACTGCAGATGCCAACCACAGAGACTGGTGAAACGTTAGGAAGAAAAACCTCCAAAACATGGCCAAACAGCCCGAAAAACCTACAAAAACCATCAGATCCTGGCCATGAAAGCCTTCGAGAATACAAAATTAGGAGTGTTACTGCTTCTATAATACAAGGTTCTGGTGGCTGTTTTTCACTTTAGAGGAAACCTTTGAATGACATGAAGAGCCGAGGGGTGGGGATAAGATTGTATAAGCAGTTGAGTGCTATTGCATTGTTGGATTTTAGCCATAGAAAACTATTATTATTTATTATTATTATTTATTTTATTTATAGCCCACCTATCTAGTCGGTTAAGACCACTCTAGGCGGGTCATGGCTTAAAATGCTAATTTGTGTGTTTAATTTTTTTAAAATACCGATTTTATATAATATGAAAGCTATAGCTTTTTAAGTTTTAAATTCTTAAAAAAAGTTTTAGAAATTAATGACTGTATCATCAGTAAGATATATTTTTTTGTTGAATGTTGTATTTTCCCTCAGTAAAATCAAAATCAAACCCCACCTCTCAAGAAGTTTAGTTCATTAATTAAAAAGGCAGAATGTTCAGATGTATATTACACTGGAAAAACCTCCCGGTGACTTCTAGTAGTCAAAAACCATTCAATTAAAAAAAGGCAATGAATCAGGTTTCCCCAGGGACATGACAAAAAATTGCTCCCTTGAACGCACAAGAGGACTTTTCAGGAACATTTCCTGATTTTTTATTTTTTATTTTTTGTAATTGGGGGTGCTAGGGGCAAAAGTGCTGCAGAGGCATATTTGGACACTTGGGGAGGCACATGGCACTGCTGTAGTATGCATTTCCCATCCATGCCATTCATCCACATTGCCATATTGATGTGGAAAAAATATACAGTGGTGCCTTGCTTAGCGATGTTAATTCGTTCCCCAAAAAATCGCTGCTAAGCGATTTCATCGCAAAGCGAAACGCGGTTTCCCATTGAAATGCATTGAAAACCAGATAATCCATTCCAATAGGAACGAATTGCTGTCCTTAAGTGAAAATTGCCAAAGGAAACATCGCTGAACGAAACGCGGTTCCCCAATTGAAATGCATTGAAACCTATTCAATGCATCTCAGTGGGGGAAAAATACAACAATAAATTTAAAAAGAGTCAGAACAAAGTCAAATTTGGTTAACAGCGGATTTATTAAGTGCACTTTATGATTTCAAACATTTTAAACAGTAAACTGTAACTTTATAAATAACAGGAAAACATTTTAAAAACAGCAAACATGAGGCTGTTTAAACCATCGTTAAGCGAAACAGGGGACCCAAAATTTAATCGCTATGCAAAGCATGGGCCCAACCATCGCTAAGCGAAAATCGCCCATAGGGACCATCGTTAAACGAAGCGCAAAAACGCTCCGGAAAAGTCATCGCTAAGCGATTTTGTCATTAAACGGAGCAATCGCTAAGCGAGGCACCACTGTATATTATGGGTATAGTGGCTTCTGTAAAGGCTTTCTACTCTAGTACTTATTTTTTGTTTGTAAGCTCGTTAAACTGTATTCCTATAAATACATACTGCTCTCAAGTGCTCTATGGAAAGAAAAGAATATTGATAAGACTGGAGAACATGCTGTTTTTCATCTTTCTATGCATAAAGCTATAATGTTAATAACCAGCAGGAAATAAAGTGGTCTCAAGTGTTGTTTAAAACATCAGTACTTTAAAAAATGTACAATTTTAGATAAGTATAAGGAAGGGAAAAAAACTAACAGGCACTTTTGAGAAAAAATAATAACAACACAGATTCTCCCCCCCCCCCTGCATTTTGGGGAACTAGATAGTGTTCAAAAACAGGTCACAGAGCCAGTATTTGTTTCATGGTTCATTTCATGGTTTGTTTTTATTTTATTATCTGAAATTGTATTCTTTCACATCATTTTTGTGATCTGCAGCATTAATATCAAGTGCTGCCTATTGATGCCTTTTTCTAGTGGACCCAAGATACCAGCTTGCTTCCACTATGAATTTAATCTCATGTGTATTGTCAAAGTACAAGAAACCATAAGATCTGACAGTGGGTTTTGCAGGGTAGAAAAGGGAGACAAGGAAGGGAGAAGAGCTTGTGAAAAGTCTCAAGCACTTATGGATAGGTTTATTTAATTATTCTCACTCTCTAAGTTCAGTTTTCCCTTTCTTCCTATTAAATGTATGCAGTACTTTTAACATTTCACATACATTCTTTATTTTCTGGTATCTCTTTTAAGAACACGATAACAAGCAAAGTGGCCTTGAGTCTGTCATTAAAGTACATTAATCAGATTCTTCCCCTCAGGGGACAGAAACTTGACGTGTCTTTCAAATCATTTAAGATATGAACCACATCACTGTAATATCATTTGATGCATGCTCCTCAGGACAGTTCCATCACTGGGGCTCCATTGGGACTGAGTGAGGAATGAATTGACACCAAAAATAGAGGCACTAGTAGCCACAAGAGGATGAACAAGAAGGAAAAGGGGGGCAAAAGAGGTCAAAAACCAGTGCTTAATAACAGTTCTAGAATCTGCTCTCTTTAGCTTTGATGTGATATAGACATCTCATCCTGACCTAGGACAAGTCATAGGCGTGCTTACAGAAATATTCCAGAATTTTGTTCTATAATAAGACTGCAGCATAATTTATTTCTTATTATAGAACACTGCTTTATAAAATAAAGGCCCTAAATAAAAGTAGTGAAACAAGTTGCTAAATTTGGCCTAAATACACCATCATGTTAGTAGCATGATATAACTTCCTTTCCCACCTCATTGAAGCTTTCCACCCAGATACCTCTTACAGAGGAGTTCCTACCCCCACCCCAAGTATGTTTTGAGGGCTCACAAGTGAGAGCTACAGAAAAGATGGGAAATTGTGCCTTTCCTGGGTACACCAATGGAAGTGGTTCTGACAGTGGGAGAGGAGCCCTGGATGCTGGTCTCTGTCTTTTCACAAATACTTGCTAAAGGAGGTAAGGTAAAGGTAAAGGTTCCCCTTGACAATTTTGTCCAGTCATGTCCGACTCTAGGGGGCGGTGCTCATCTCTGTTTCCAACCTATAGAGCTAGTGTTTGACCGAAGACAATCTTCCATGGTCACGTGGCCAGCGTGACTAGACACGGAACGTTGTTACCTTCCCACTGTGGTGGTACCTATTTATCTACTCGCATTTTTTCATTTTGCATGCTTTCGAACCGCTAGGTTGGCGGGTGCTGGGACAAGCTCACTCCATCGCATGGATCCGATCTTACAACTGCAGGTCTTCTGACCTTGCAGCACAGAGGCTTCTGCGGTTTAACCCGCAGCACCTTAATAACACCATGGTCATGTATCTTATGTTATGCTTTTAGCACTGTAGCCCATCCAATACAGCTTGAGACAAAAGGTTTGTGTGTTTGTGTGTATACTTTGGCAGGAAGACAGACAGGAGATAAAGTGGCAAGAGATGTTGAGAAAGAAGATACAAACAAAAAGATGGTATGCATGATAGAAAGAGATTCTCTTGTACCTTGTTAATTATGGCTTAGCAGATAAGATAAGAAGGGCTGTATGCATTTGGAATTTACCAGTTGCAGGCCTCTGCTACACTTACCTGGCAATGTAGCCATTTGTCTAACTGCTTAATACATCATATCACTTACTAACATATATTTAACATCAAGAACAGATGGATCTGTGTCTTTTTAAGATAACATGGGATGAATGCAGTAATTGTTCCTGCTCTGAAAAGCATCATGGAGCTGTGGTCTTGTGTTCTTCATGATGACGTGCACTTATTGTAGTTATTGAGTTGTGTGACCTAAATAAAGGGATCTTTAAAAAAAATCTAAACCCTACATTAAGGACAGTTGCCCCATTGCTTGGTGCCACTTTGGTTGCACAAACACAAAACCAATTTTCGCTCTTGTTCTATCCATCCAAATGTTCCCACATGTTCTGCTGAGCGAGTGCTCTCAGACCTGTTTTACTTCATGGTGTTTGTGCTTTGCTTCTGTCTTCCGTATGCTTCAGAACCCCGTTGGAATTCTACCAGAAAGCAGGTTGCTTGCTGGTATTGCTTGTTTTGGGATACTCGAAGCCATTCCATGTGTTTTCAAGAAACTCTGTTTCATTGAGCATGATCGGAACCCATTAGGGCTAGCAGCTCCAATATCCTTGTTCACATTGGTCTTGTTTTTCCATTTGCCTCTCAGAATGAATCAACCAGTTCTTCATGTTTCATGGAATGATGCTGTGGCATTTTGTACCTGGGCTGGAAAACGACTCCCAACAGAGGCTGAATGGGAATATAGCTGCCGGGGAGGCCTTGAGAACAGGTACTTATCACCATTCTTTTGTTCTGTGTTAGAGATGAAAAGAGTTGTTATTCCGGCTCTGGAAAACCTGGCAGGAGAGAATTTTGGTCATGCTTTCCAGTATGCTTAAAATATTGAACAGCTACATAAGGAAATACAATCATTTCATAACTTCAAGTGAGGGTCTGTGGAAAATAGATCACAGTGAGGGCATTAGACATAGGAGAAGCTATCTTCTGAGGTAAATTCCAGCCATATTCCTTTAAACAAGGAGACTTTCTCTACAATTGATGGAATAATGCCCTTTTAAATTACATTTAAATGGTGTATATACCGTCCATCATTCCAAAGCACTGAACAAAATGTGTTCAACAGTTAAAAATCCACATTCAAAAGAAAAGGATACATAGTTATTGCTTCTGTTTCTTAAAACCATGTTGTGTTTTAATTGGAAGAATAGTTTAGTGCCCCCTTTTTGTTAACAGAACCCTGTTTGAATGACAGACCAATATATTCAGCTTTGCAAGTCCTGTATATTGTGGCAGTATTTACAGCTCCAGGTTTTATATAACTTTATATAACTTTCCCCCTCAGAGGCACAAACTAGGTGAAATTTTAATGTGGGATCAGAGTTGCTACTGTTATATATGTTGATCTACAATACTGGCTATGTAAAACTATGCTGTAAGTCAAAGATACTGAGCACATGTTTTTAATTTACTTTTTATTTAGAAAATCCTGTATGCAATACTGGCAACTTCATCCTGTAGACATAACTTACGGGAAATGATGGCTGCTCTAATTTTTGGTCCTTCTCTTCAAAAGTAACCCACCATTACATTGAACAACATTTGCCTGTCCTTTTATCCACAGACTTTTCCCTTGGGGGAACAAACTTCATCCAAATGGTCAGCACTATGCTAATATCTGGCAGGGGGAATTCCCTGTGAACAATACTGGGGAAGATGGATACAAAGGAACTGCACCTGTAAGTTGAAAAGTGCACCAAAGGCAAAATTTGGATTAAATCACACTTCAGCAATTGAGCCAGTACATCTTGGGCAGTTCAGATTTGAAGTAGAGCCTTGCCTCAGAAAATCCAATGGTTCACATTAGTGCTCAGAGATTTACATGGAGAAATGAACAGCAGTTACAGCTGATTTGTTCTTTTTTTTTTTTTTGGCACAGTGATCTGAAATCTGCAAGCATTTTAGAAAATTTTCTAAGTAGCGCCCTACATTTTGAGCAAATACATACTAGAGTATATGTGGAAGGGATTTTGCAGTTCAAGAGGGTGTGTGTGGAAGTTATGCCTATAACTTTTTTATGGTAGTAGAACTGGTTTCATAAGCAGCTGACAGATGTGTGCAGGAGAGTTGTGCAGTTGGATTCTTTCAAAATGGGGTGTGTGGTAGATTTTTTCCCCCTGCTATGGATTTTTGCTTAGTTGGTTGGCAAATGTACTTGCAGTTGAATATCATGCATGCCTCTAGGTCAGCAACATGGAACAATTCAGGATCCATGTGGTGGGAGTGGGAGGCTTGTGCAGAAGAAATGTGAATAGCATTTTTTTTCTGCTTTCCTACTTGTTTTGAGCAATTTCTATGGAACAATAATGATGCTGCCTTGCATATTGTCAGACCGCTGGTCCACCGGGCCAGTATTGGCAACTTTGATCAGCAGTAGCTCTTCCAAGACTTCAGCCAAAAGTCTTTCAAGCCTTGCCTGGTGCTGAGTATTAAGCCTAGGCTCTAATACATGTAAAAGGAAAGCACAACCTCTACCATGGCTTTCCCAAAATAGCATCTCTCATAGAGTGACTAACCTTGAAATTTCAGAATGATAAATACATTGGTTTGGGATGATTATGACGAAGAAAAACAAAATGTATGGGTGTTGTTTTTGTTTTCTGTTCAATAAACATTGTAGGATTAGTTGTTCCTTTCAAAGCATGATGATTGCAGATCAAAAGTTGCTGTTTAGTCTTCGTGACCCCATGGACCAGAGCATGCCAGGCCCTCCTGTCTTCCACTGCCTCCCAGAGTTGGGTCAGATTCATGTTGGTAGCTTCAGTGACACTGCCCAACCATCTCATCCTCGGTCGTCCCCTTCTCCTCTTGCCTTCACACTTTCCCAACATCAGGATCTTTTTCAGGGCTTAGTCAAGTTACATCCTACTTGGATACTAGATCCATTAATAATAAAAACATCCCCCTTTTCTTTCTCTCTTCTCCCCCCCGCCCCAATTTTCTATGTTAAAACTGAGTGGAAAAGTCATTAAGATGGCTGCTTAGTTGGAGATCCTTTCTTCTGTTTCCTTAGTGGAACATGGGGGAAAGGTATTATGCATCCCTGGCTCTATTAATTGCTTGAAGCCTCATTTCTATGGATATGTAAATCAGGTTTTATGAGAAGCATCCGGCTGTGCACCCACTCTGCCGGATGGAAATGTAACAAAGCCTTTTCCTGTTTCAAATGTCATGGTCAGTAAGAAGGCACTATGCAGCTTAGCAATCACACCTGTAGATGTAAATTGAGAACAAGTTGTTTCAGCCAGTAATGATGATCTATTCTTATTGTCACTTAAGAAGGAAAATGTCAAGGTTTTCTTGGCGTGGGATTGTTAGACCCCTGCATTTTGGAACCTACACCTACATGAAGTATTCTTCTGAATAGTTCCTTTATTCTTGAGTTGGTGCATTTCTGATATTTAACTGTGTGGCTTTCCTGCTGCCCTCTCTTTGCTCAAAAAGGACTTGATTGTTTAGATCTCCCAGTTATGATGTTGAAGGGGAAAGCAGTGGCAGAGTTTAGGGGGTCAGGAGCCCCTTGGGTAGCTCAAGAATTAGAGATAGGAAGCTCAGAACCCAGTGAGGTATACTGGTTAAAGTATTACACTGGGTATTGAGAGATCCAGCTTTTAATATGTACTTAGCCATGAAACTCATTGGGTTGTCTTGAGCCAGGTAAATATTCATTGCAGGAAGAAGAGAATATGACAGGATTTTTTTTTATATATTAGCTAAGCAGAATTACCTTTTTGAGCAGTTGGCTTAACCTATTTAGGAGTAGAAGATACGTAGAATAATAATAGTAAAACTGGTCAAACACCCAGCTGGGAATCCCTGGTATTTAGGGCAGCTTGGCAGCTAAAGAAAAGTTTTGTGCCTCCAACATAAAAGGTGAGGAGATTAAAGAAAGGTTTTTTTCCCCCGGTCCAGAAGGAGAAATGGAAGATCAGAGAACAAAATAAAGAGGCATTCATTTTATTGATATGTGTATCTCTCTTCCCTTTCAGTAAACATGTAGGACAGCAAATTTAATCCAGTTGTCCTTGATCAGAAACCATGTCCTTTGTACATCTTTTCCTACCAGGTAACAGCATTTCCTCCAAATGGTTATGGCTTGTACAACATTGTCGGAAATGCCTGGGAGTGGACATCAGATTGGTGGGGTGTTAATCATTCGGCAGATGCAACATACAATCCGGTAAGTATCTCACATCTCATAAGCAGAATGGGAGTCCCCTCTCTGCTGTTTTGCTGCTTCTCCAATTATAAACCTCCACATAACACTGTGGAGCTGGATATGCCGATTTGAATTGGGTCACATCATTTCTAATATCATTTCTCACTTTGCTTATTCTTGGCTCAGAATTGCACAAAGGATGTTCACATGCCCCAGGCAGTGTGCCCAGTGATTGCGAGGTATGTGAAAGGTAGTCCAAAACACCTGGAGGACATGAGGTTGCTTCCCCTGCCTTAGGTGAAACATAAAGTTGATTGTTTTCAAACTGCCTTTGCATCTTTCAATAGGAAGCTGAATAAAGTTACCACAGAAGCTTTATTTTGTCACAAAATAATAGAGGTAGCATTGTGTAGTGGACAGAAAGTTTGACTAGGACACAGAAGACCTGTGTTCCAATCCCAACCTGGCCAGGGAAGTTCACTGGAGGTATCATCAATAAACCATTCCGTTCCTTAAATAACTCACATATTTAAGAAACCCCACTAGGGTTGCCTTAAGATTGGATAAATTTGACGGCACATAAAGTAATTTTACTTAAGCTAAAGGTGAAAGCAAGCACACAACCTAGATGTTGTGGAAGTAGCTTAAAGTATCACCACTTTCACTAATCTGGGACCTCCCCTCCTTTCTAAATCCCTTCTTGATTCAGTGTAGCTAAAAGAAGGAAACGGGTGATTATACAGTGCTGCAGGCCCAGAGAAGCAGAGGTACAAGTGTCTTTGATTAGCTGTTGCTGCTTCACTTTCCAACAACCAACATGAATTTAACACAACTCCAGGAGGCAGTGGACGATAGGAGGGCCTGGTGTGCTCTGGTCCATGGGGTCACAAAGAGTCGGACATGACTGAACGAACGAACGAACTTGACTTTCCACAATAAACACATGGAGAAGCTCCTTCCCTGTCATCATTTACTTAGAAGCCTGGGGAGGCTATGCGGATTACTCTCATCAAATTGGAACCCACTGCATTAGTTACTGGCTCATTTCTGTTATGTTAAGAAGCTCGGTTAAACACATCCATTCCCTAGTTCAAATGACTCCTAAGAGACCCTCTCCTGTATGGACTCCTTCCCCCGGCACCTACAGAACATTCCTCCTTTCTTCTCAGGCACCCTGTCTGCGGAAGTTAATCAACAACATTATCAGCGAGCAACAAGGTCTTCTCAGCTTCAGCCCTGGCTTTATGTTCTTCTTCTTCTTTTTAAAGAAAAGAAACTAAAGCCATTGTACAGTGGTGCCTCGCTTAGCGAGGGTTAATCCGTTCCGGATTAACCCTCGCTCAGCGAATCTTGACTTTTCTCAATAAACACATGGAGAAACTCCTCCCCTGTCATCATTTACTTAGAAACCTGGGGGCGCTATACGGATTACTCTCATCGAATTGGAACCCACTGCACTAGTTACTGGCTCATTTCTGTTATGTTAAGAAGCTCGGTTAAACACTTAACCATTTCCTAGTTCAACTGACTCCTAAGAGACCCTCTCCTGTATGGACTCCTTCCCCCGGCACCTGCAGAACATTCCTCCTTTCTTCTCAGGCACCTTGTCTGTGGAAGTTAATCAACAACATTATCAGCAAGCAACAAGGTCTTCTCAGCTTCAGCCCTGCTTTATGTTCTTCTTTTTAAAGAAAAGAAATTAAAGCCATTGTACCTTCTTTTCACAGATAATCTTTATATACACCGCCTTTATGTCTACTTTGCTTTGCTTTGTTTTCATTTTTTTGTATGAATGTTGGGAACATGGGCTCAGTGTTCCAATACAGATAGCAGAATGGGGTTCTCTTCATCCCGTGGGGACAGTCCAACAGCCTTTGGAGCCCTGCAAGTTGCTGACTCTTGGACTTGTCCTGTGATGTATTCAGTCACTGTTCTTGCCCTCTGACTCAAGCAGTTTTCCTGAGTCTCACATAAGGTCTTTCCATCACCTGGCAAAATGATCCTTTCAACTGAAGAGCACAAGTTGCTTTAGGGAGCAGTGGACAATGTGCCTTTATGAGAAGCAAGACAATTCATGGGAGGGCACGTGATGACTTTTGATGGTTTTAGTTTGTTTGGGTGTGGTAGGACTTCATCATTGCAATGTTTTCCCATTGATAATACTGGAGGGTGGCAGTGCCTGGAAGATGTTATTGTTCTCAGACCTCCAGGGAAGAAGACTTACTTGGTAAATGATTTGGAGCAAAGAGGGGTTCCTAGGCTGTGAAAGAACAAAACAGGGCAGAAACGCGAGATTAATCTTTTTTGCTAAAGCTCTGAAAAAACTGAAGCACTGGAAAGGGAGCATTAGAAGTCAGCAACAGTTTCTTCCAAGATCTGAAAACATACTTGCTTGTGATTGTGTTTCATGTATCACAGTTAATTTTTCAAGCTGCTTCAGCTTTTGTTAGGATGTGTGTATAATGTATGTCATCAAGTTGGAACTGACTTATACCAACCCCAACAGGCCTTTTAAGGTAAGTGAGACATTTACAGAGTGGCTTTATCAGCTCCACACACCCAGTGGATTTCTATGGCTGAGCAGGGATTTGAACATCGACCTCCTGAGTCCTAGTCTGTCACTCTATCCACTACACTACACTGAGTATCTCTATATCAGGTTGAATGTATCATTTTATTTATAGGCAGCTAGTCTATGCATCATTGTAAGATAAGGAACCTCAGATGATAAAACAGGTTATAGGATCCCATCTGTTGTGCATCAATTTATTTATAGGCAGCTAGTGTATGCATCATTGTAAGATGAGGAACCTCAGATGATAAACAGGTTATAGGATCCCATCTGTTGTGCACACTGCTACATATAAACTCTTGGTGGCTTTCACACTTTATCAGGGGGAAGGGGTTATCTGGAGCATAAACTGTTCAGCATGGAGCCTTGTTGGGAAAAGGTGTTCCAAATGTTACATATTTCTTCTACTCTTTTTCTCTAAAGAAGACTCAAAGCTAACTTGTTATGAATTACATGATAGAAAGTCTGCAGCCTCAATTTTTTTTAAAGTTTACGCACAGACTGTTACAGTGGAGCTCTATAGACATTTACTTGGACATAGATTCCACTGAATTTAGTAGTGCTATTTTGATGCAAATGTGCATCAGATTTCAGCCTTAAGAAACAATCAGATCTGCTGGAGCTCTATCTGGATTTAGAAGGAATGCATGCAAAAACATGTATAGCTGCTTTGCATGTGGTTGTATTATTTCCTTCCATATATATTTGTATGGGATTCTCTCCTCTTACATAAGATATGATAGCACATAGCTAAAGGTAAAGGTTCCCCCTTGACATTTAACCCTAAGATATGATAGCACATAGGTAAAGGTAAAGGTCCCCCCTTGACATTTAATCCAGTCGTGTCCGACTCTAGGGCGCAGTGCTCATCCCCATTTACAAGCCATAGAGCCACAGCTTGTCCAGAGACAGTTTCCGGGATCACGTGGCCAGCACAACTAGACACGGAATGCAGTTACCTTCCCACCGAGTTGGTACCTATTTATCTACTCGCATTTTTACATGCTTTCAAACTGCTAGGTTGGCAGGAGCTGGGATGAGCACCGGGAATTCACTCCATCGCGTGGATTCAATCCCGGGAGTTCACTCCATCACGTGGATTCAGTCTTACAACTGCTGGACTTCTGACCTTGCAAGCACAGAGGCTTCTGTGGTTTAATCTGCAGCGCCACCACGTCCCTATCATAGCACATAGCTGAACTGTAATTGTAGTATTATTAGAATTGATAAAAACACCTTGTTAAAAGCCTCATTTCTAAACTTTTTCAAAGGTCTTCATCAACCTCGTCTTAACCCATATCTGTCCAGTGCCTTCCGTATCATTTCCTTGCTTTCTCTGCAGCACTTAGCTGCATTATTTTTCCTAAACCAACAATACAGGGGTGATCACCACTTGAGCAATACTAAATGAAAATGAGTGTTGTAGCAACCTGTATCTCACTTCCCACATTGAGAAAGATCTCACTACAATGTCATTTTTCAAAATGAATGAAGATCTAATTGGAAGACAAAAGAAAGGCCAACCCACTCAAGTATTGAGGGGTATGTGTTGAGAGATCTGTGCATAAAACCAGAAAATCCTTTATTTCCGGTGCCTTTTGAAGGCAACTTCTTTGCCCTCAGTGGTGGATCTCACATTCACCAATGAAAATAGTTTGAATTCCTCACAACCCAAAATCTTGAATCCTTGCTTTAATTTAAAGCAGTTGCAGCATGCTGATTTTTGACAAAGTGGCTTAACCTGTCATCCAATTTGCCTGTATCTCTCAGAATGGCTTTCAGAAAACAACAGTTTTTAAGCACCCTGAATTAATTCTTATAGACCAAATACAATAACTTATGTTTATGAGTTATGAGGGATTTTTATTTTTATTTTTTGGGCTCTACTGGACTTCCAGTGTATTGAAGGCTAGTAATTGGGTTACCTAAGATCATGGCCACCAGGAGGTCCCATCACCTCCTGGCAAATAGAAGGGGAAGATATGAAGGTAGTGACAAATTTTACTTTCACTGCAGATGGTGACAGCAGCCACGAAATTAAAAGACTGGTGCTGGAGGAGGCTCTTGAGAGTCCCCTGGAATGCAAGGAGACCAAACCTATTCGTTCTGAAGAAAATCAACCCTTCTCACTGGAAGGACAGATCCTGAAGCTGAGCCTTCAATACCTTGGCCATCTCATGAGAAGAGAAGACTCCCTGGGAAAGACCCTGATGTTGAGAAAGTGGTAAGACAAAAAGAGAAGGGACGACAGAGGACGAGATGGCTGGACAGTATCATTGAAGCTACCAACATGAATTTGACCCAACTCCATGAGGCAGTGGAAGAAAGGAGGGCCTGGTGTGCTCTGGTCCATGGAGTCACAAAGAGTCAGACATGCTTTGCTATAAGAAACTGATTATCAGAGCCACAATCAGCTCCCGGTCTTGCTTTTGCTGACTGTATAGAGCTTCTCCATCTTTGGCTGTAGAGAATATAATCAATCTGATTTTGATATTGCCCATCTGGTGATGTCCATAGAATCATCTCTTGTGTTGTTGGAAAAGAGTGTTTGTGATGACTA